TAGGATCAGAAGTTATTCAGGGTAATCCGTTTTTTTCCCTTTTGCCCACAGTACTCTAAGAAGTCATAATTCAGTTATAATTTTTTCTTCTGTTACTTCACATTTTTAAACTCGAAAACTAAAATTTATTTTATATTTATACTTAAAAATAAGCGTTTTAATCATCCTCCCCCCGCCAGGTGGAATGAAAGTTTTGTTCGATTGTAGAATAATTTTTCCATTCCATTTTTCAATTTGACTTTCTTGCTTACAAAATATATAAGCACAGTGACAACTTTCCATCGACGTAAAATTCTATATTTTGAAAGATATTTTGTGTTGCACTCTAATGACTAAGCATGGAACTGAAATGCACTTTTTAAAAGTAAATACACAAAATACGTACAATGGAACATTCTGAATCTTTTCAACTGTATTATAAAACAAACAATAATAATAAGAAGAAAGCTGTTGAATTTATAGTTTAAATAATACGTTTTTTAAAATACAACATATTTTCAGTTTCAAATATATAAAAACTTCGTATTTGAATTTTTTATGTCTAATTTTGAACTTCGTTAACAAATTGTTTTTGCTGGAAATATTTTATTTAATATTGATCATAATTACGAAATTCATTGTAGTTATTTCTTTTTCAAAAGAATAAAAAACATTCTCTACAAAATTTTGCTTAGAATTTATGGCTTAAGGCATGAATTTTTTCTCATGCATGCTGATTAAATTTCGAGAAGCGTCTAAAATTGAAGAAAACAGTTTTATTATTCATAAAGATAGTTTAGATATACACGAGTATATTAACTGCACTAAAATGACATCCTTTTAAATAAATAATTATCATAAGTTAGGTTTTAATAAATTACATAATTTTCATTCAACAATTGCATGAAACAATTTTCTAAAAGAATTGCAGTCATATAAAGAGAAAACATCTAAAAAAAAAATTAAAACGCAAAGATTACAAGAAATAATTAGATTAAGTGATTTAGAATTTTTATTTCTAATTTTAAAATAAACATTACATTCATTTATATAAAAAGCACTTCAAAACAGCCAGCATAGCTTCAACAATTGCAATAAGTCGCACGCAGTTAAGTAAGAATGAAATTAATTTTAAATAAATACATAAAACACTTCAGTTGAACTTTGATAGCTTAATAAAGCCATCTTTTCTCAAAGCACAAAGACAAATTTTTTTTATACAGCAAACTCTAAGCTTACCTATTCTTAAAGATTACTTTCTTTTGATTTTATAAATCTTTTACATTCATTCGATAAAGATAATTTAGTCATTCAATTATGCGAGTAAGATAAAAGTTGCATAATGAAAAAGCATACAAAAAGATAGCAAACTCTGATAACTCGCTTGAATAAGGTTATTTATATGTCTAGTTGTGAGTTTTTATTTAGGAACATGCACAACAATTTTTCAATTTCTATCAGCCACTGTCAGCAATAGAAAAGTTCTAGCTTAATAACATGAAATATTTAAATTTGCTAAAACAAACAATGCACCCTTATTAGAAAATTTCACCTATACTAATATTAGAAAAGATAATTTAGTTATTCCATTGCAGAAGTAAGCTAAAATTTGTATATTGAGAAAGCATCCAAAAAGATAAACTCTAAAGTTTCGAGAAATTCTGGAATAAGGCTAACTAAAAGTAAAGTTGTGAGATTTTAAGTAAAGAAATACCCATAACAAATTTTCAATTTCCATCAGTAACTATTTAAGCTATATATGAGGTTATTAGTTTAATAACATGAAACACTTGCGTACTGCTAACTTAAGAAATTTCATTTTTCAACTTTTCTGATTAAAACAAACGATTAATGATGAGAATCAAAACTATGCTTATCAATAAACTCATTGACAAAATTCATTCGTTTTTCGATGTCATTCATTGCAGCTTGTAAGTCACTTTCAGTAAGCATTAGATTGAATTGATTGTGAACTCTTTCAGGAACCAAACGGGGTATCACTTGAACTGAGTTTGTGTGATCTATCAATTTAGATTCTTGCATTTTTTCGTCGATTTCGCTTGATGTGCTCGTAAACTTTCGATCTTGCATTGCCTTTTCCCAGCCTTTGCTTGATACATTTAGTGATTTCATTTCTTCCATCAGCATTTCCTCGCTTTCACTTGATGAACTCGTAGACTGCTTTTCTGGTATTATGTTCTTTTCGCATGACGGTGTCTCTTGCTTTACCTTTTCCCCATTTTGAGAAAAATTTAGGATTCCATCAGACTTAAACTCGTATCCATCAGGCTTTTCACTAGATTCAGATGGTATTTCAGTTTCCTTTGTCTTTTGGTGTTTGATAACAAGGAAATCATCCGCAGACCAATAAGCAACTAAATTGGCTTTCTGAACATATTCAGGTAGCATGTAAATGTACGTACAATCTCGATTGAAGGTGATATCACCGGTTTCACGGAATTCATGTTTTAAACTTACTTTCATTTTATTTTCTTCCGGGAATTCAATGGTTAACTCTTCTTCTTTTAGGGAAGAAACATCGAACACGATCATAAAGGCTTCTTCCTCGCCAGAGTCTGGAAAGTCTAGATACTGATGATTTCTTTGGATGTGTCGCTTGTATTCCATAATAAGTTTTTAACTGAAGCAAGAGAAATCTCTATCATTCAAAGCAACAGAGAGTGTGATTAGTTTATTTATTTATTGTTGTGCATTAATATGCAAGCTTGTGTGCGCATTACAGATACAGCATACAGTCTTTGTCAAGTTGAAGAACAGATAGCACAAGTTAGAGGAGGACGTCCCCATGATGTAACTAGGGTTGAGGTGGAATTTCAGACCGCTACTTCCATGCCACAGACTGCTTGGCAGAACTGTGAAACAACTTGGCCTGTGAGGTCTGAAGAGTGGTTAGCTAAGCTTTATTATGAAGAAATAAGACCGGTACATAACAAAAAATTGAAAATTTTAGACACGCAACATTAAAACTGACCATCTACTTCAATATCGGCCTTCATTTATAAAAGCACTTGTGTTCTTTTTTTTTTTTTTTTTTTTTTTTTTTTTTTNTTTTTTTTGTAAGCTTCTTCAATAATTTCGGGGCATGAACCAGCGACCTTTTACTTCGAAGTCTTGTGCTAGACTTCACTCTTTCAGTCACATCAGTAAATACACTATGTTGATGTTATTGACTGTCAACATGCATCTTACATGACACCTAGTGAACTAGTACGGGTGGTCGAAAGACTAAAGTCTCAGACTGGATCAAGAAAAGTAGTGAGTTCACACCCCGATAATATTTTTAAAAACCATTTTGCTTAAAAGCGAATTGCATAGAAACGCTTATAATAAATTGAGTAAACTATATACAAATAATATCAGGGGTGAATGAGAGACATTGATCTCCAGCGTTATGGAGAAAATTCATTAATCGGTACCCCAAAGTTTGTTTTTTAAAAAAAACTTAGTAGTCAAGCATCACTGGCTGCAGTCTGTGTGCGGATGGGTGACCACTTTGATCTGAGAACAAAGGGATCTAGGGTTTGCGGTATCGGTTCTCGTTAAACTGTTTTGTCCCACTGATCGTTAAGACACGGTTCCCAGCAGATCACCGAAGTTAAACATCACTGGCTGCAGTCAGTGTGTGGGTTGGTTACCACTTGGATCAGTCTGTGTAGGGATCGAGGGTTTGCGGTAATGGTCCTCATTAAACTGTTCTACAGTAAAGTGCTCGACTTCACATGCAGGTCATCGGGCTACCGAAACGTCCCCTCTGCAGAGGATCGAAATTGTGACGCAGACCATCGCTAATAGCCCATTATGCAGCTCTAGTGCGACATAAATGAACTAAAACAACAATTAAACTGTTCTACCGCAAAGTGCTAGACTTCACGGGCAGGTCATCTGGCTCCTGAAGCAGGGAAGTCATCTTCTCTGCGGAGGATCAAAATTGTGATGGCATGTCTTCGGATCATCCTCAGGGATGTTGCTCAGACCGTCGCCAATAGCCCATTGTGCAGCTTTAGGGCGACGCAAGCCAACAATAACAAAAAACTTAGTCAAACAACAGCAAAGGAATAGCATTGAACTGCTTTATTATAGTGGAACAAGAGCAATTAAGAAAAAAGCTCGGTTGGTCAAGAATGTCGCAGGTTAGTGTTCGAAGGTTACAAAGGATAACCTGTGTTTAGAAGAGAACAACATGCATCAATTATCGGCATCTCGAAGTTATTAAAAAATCTTTGTTAAATGACTACAAGCGAATGACCTATGAATGCTTAACCGAAGCAGAACAAGTGCGATTAAAAGATGGTGAAGATTGCGACAGAGAATGTCACAGGTTAGTGTCCGAAGTCACATAGGTTATCCCTCGTTATAAAAGAACAGCATACAAGTGCATAATTGAAGTAAAACCTATTTATTTTTATTTATTGTGCACCATACATTTGCCGACTTGTGTGCTCAATTGAAACTTTTAAACTTTCATCAAGTAGAAGGATAGGTAGTACAACACAGAGAAGGACAACACGAACACGATCATGAAGACTTCTCCCTCGCCAGAGTCTGGAAAGTCCAGATACTGTCCAGATTTCTTTGGATGTGTTCCTTGTATTCCATAATAAGTTTTGAACTGAACCAAAACAATCTCAAACATTCAAAGTACCGAGAGAGATTAGTTTATTTATTACTGGATATATAAACATTTGCAGGCTTGCATGCGCATTACAGATGCAGCATACTGTCTTTGTTAAGTTGAAGATAGCACAAGTCAGAGAGGACGTCACCAAGATGCATCCACTGTTACGGTGTGATTCGAACCAGCCACCTCCACGCTTATCAGAGCTTATCAGAGCCACGCTTATCAGAGCTTATCAGAGCCACGCTTATCAGAGCTGGCGATACCGCTCTGACAGGGAGGCCCCAAGTAAAACCTGTCTCATCGGATCTAAATAAACAAAATAGGCTTACTGTATTGTCCCTCCACCAAATTATTTGAAGCGCAAGGGTAAAGAGTTAGAGTACCACTGTAGCCCCAGATGTATTTCTGAATGTTCCTTAGTGATATTCTTAATGATTTGATTAATTAATTATAAATTTATTCACGATTTCAGTTCATATTAAACGTTTTTGGATTAACCAAAATGTACTTAAATTTATAAGAACCGTCATCCGGGCTTATATTGGAGCACTTTTGTTGTGTAAATTTTGGACACTGATTTCAGCAACAATTCTTGAGTTTGCTTTTAGTTTTCTTTCTGTTTTGTTTCTGACGATCGCTTTCGAGAAATTTTGTATTTCATGTTTTAAAATTCGGAGTGTTTTGAATGTAAGTTTATAAGCTTTTACTTATATGTAAGGTAATTTCATCACAAATTTATTAGTCTTATAACATTCATCACCAAACTCTTATTTTTAAGTTGAATTTATAGTAACCAAATTTTAACAAATCGAAAGTCATCAGTTTTAAGTTGTTTTTTTTAAATACGATTGATCCTATTTCCATTGATTATATATTTTCGTTTGCAACATTAATTTTTAGATGTATTTCCATTTTTTTTTGTTGGTATTGTGAATTTATAATTGTTTTTTGCATAGATAAACGAATGCCACCAGACTTATCTCACTAAAACTGATTTTATTATACCCTGGGTCAAGCTTAGGAATGTGATGCCTAAATTGGCACTTGAATAAGGGAATCGCAAAAAAAAAAGTTAATTTCGATTTTATAGAAACGATAAAAAGCTGTTTTTGATTTATTTAGATATTATAAATTGATTATTAGAAATTTTGAACCATTATTTAACAAGTTTATATTATGTTTTAATTTTTACCTCTTTTTTTCATAGACTAATTGTTCTATTATAAAAAAACTTCTGCTTTATGAGTAACGTCCTCTGCCCTAAGTTTTAACCCTTTCAGGGTCATGATCATTTAAATATGATCATTTATATATGATCATTTATTTATCATATATGACACGAGCCTTTCTGATTCTAGAGGCCCAAGATAACATGGCGCGATCTTAATACGGTTCTCTCTCATTACAACGACCCGGACTCGTGATATTCAAGTTTGGCCTAAACTTTTCATCACGAGTCAGACTCGTGAAAAAAATGCGAGGGGTTAAATAACATAATAAAAACAGAATATTAGACTTTTTACGTAGAAATATGTAACTTAGAAGAATATCATAAACTAATAAATGGAATAAAATAGTAAAATAAATAATAAAATAAAACACTTAATTCAACTTCATCAGTTTAATTTTTTTAATTATTTTTAAATATTACACAAAAATGATAAATTTTAATTTTCTGCTTTTTGTAAGACATTCTCAAACAAATTCCACTCTACTCAAAAACATATTTGTATGTCATAAAGCTGTTCAGAAGGCTACATGAATTGAATTTCATAACCTTCTAAGAAGTTTTCATTCGAATAAAACTCTTCGGCCAACGAGAATAAATATTATATTCTATAGATAATTGTATAGAATCATATAAAATATCTGTAGTATAGAAGTATATAAAATAGATACATGGAATTACAGATGTTCTATAGATAGATATTCTAGATATTTATAAATAGACAATCGCTTTGTAAAGGAAAACAAACAGAAATTTTTTTAATATATTTTTAGGTTATCCAATGTTATCCACATTAGACACTAAGTCAGAATAGGTTATGTTACAATAAATAGGTGTATAGTGTGCAAAATAAAAAGGGAACGACCAAATCAGCTCTGATCTAGTGACTGAAAGATGCAATCTCAATGGTTCGAGAGTTTATCATTAAATTTGTTAAATAATTTGAGCAGGCAATATTTGAAGCTAAGAAATTAGGCATGAAAGCGTACTTTCTGGGAAGAATAATTACACATTTTCTCTCAAGAATTCCGATATTTGATCCTCAAAATTGAGAAGTAGTTGCAGAGCAATAGATTAATCAGGAATGATCGGGGATGGCCTGGTTGGTAAGACGTTGGACCCATGTTCAGGAAGTTGTTAGTTCGATCCCCACCGGTCAAATGACTGGTACACATTGAATCTTTCTGATCATAAAGTCCTCCATGTTCCTACAACAAATTATACCTCAGTTGGTACTGAATTGGAGATTCATCGCTCTCTGGTTCAGGTCAAAATTAGATCTGAGGATGAATTAATGGGTACACCCTATAAACGAGCTGTGAGGTGTGTGTGGCTGAAGTATTTTTGGCCATAGATGGCGCCACTGAAAGCAGAAAACGCACCTTTTGACATAAATTCGCTTGGTTTCCGCAAGCAGACTTGCTGATATTGGCAAGGCCGGGATAGTCTGGTTGGTAGGGCACAGGGCCAATGTCCAAGAGGTCGTGGGTTCGATCTCCGTCGACCGAAGACTTCCCGTGTAGTAAATGGTGACTGATGCACGTTAAATCTGTCGAGTTTCAAAGTCCTCCATGTTCCCATAACAAATCATACCTCTGGGGGTACTGATCAAGAGTTTCCTTGTTTCCTGAATTGGTTCAAAATTACAAGGCTACGGAGTTGTACATTAGTAGTCGTAAACCCAAACTTGAGTCGGCTGTTTAACAGCGGTTATAAAAATAATATAAAAATGGCATTAAAAAAACAACAGAGTGAGTCAAAGTTTTGGCCCCCTAATGTTAATTTCACTAATTCTTTATCTTTTCTAAATATATTCTATCTTCTATCTATTTCTTATCTTTGAACCTATTAAACTGAATAAAAAAAATTATACACTCAATAAAGAATCTTGTTTGCTCAAATATATAATTAAAATAATGATTTTCGTAAGAAAAATTTTTTTAAAAACATCTATTGTTTTCTATTATAAATTCAATAATTATTTACTATTAAATTTATTTTTATTAATGTACAAATTTGTTAAAGGTCATAAAATGCTTGAATTTTAATGTACACAAATTTGAGAATAATTTTAAACTATGTACGTAGTTTTCAATAACAAAATCCAGAACTTGACCAAAAGCGGGCGAATAGTTCTTGATAAAAGAAAATTTTAAAAAAAATATGACTTTCTTGAAATTTTCTGATTCGCAAACTGTTTTCACTAAAGTTTTATATTTTGTCATTTTAAATTAAAAACACAAATTGCTTCATAAAATTGTATACCTTTCTATTCAAAAATATTTCGATCGCTATTAAATGAAATAGATTATTATAAAAAATTTAAAAATGCTTCTATTGTATCTTGCAATTGTAGTCAATAATTCGGTTTAAAATGATTGATTTGTTATGAAAATAGTTAAACGATAAAAATTTATAAGTGAACTAAATTGCTCTAACTAAAAAACTGAATGAGACGTTAAATGATTTCGTACTCAAATTTCAAGCGAATATTTGTAAAAGGTGCTGAATTAAGGAAGTATATAATTAATAATTTATTTAAAATACATCCCAAATTGTTTCGTCTATGGAACTCTAAATGATCAAACTTTTTTCGGCAGAACCCCGACTTTGAAAAAAATAAAGTATATAAAAGCAATGTAAAATAAAGTATATAAAAACAATGTTAAATAAAGTATATAAAAACAATGTAAAATAAAGTATATAAAAATAATTGCTAGCGTTATAACCACTAAAAGACTACTTTATTTTGAAAATATTTAAAAGAATGAAATTTTTTCATAGTTTTGTTCATTAGTAGAAATTAGATTTTATATCTGACAGTTGAACTTGAACTCTTGAAGCTCTATCGCATTTAGTTATAACTTGTTTTCGGTGTAAATACATAAGCTGAAATTTAAATAAATAAGCAATCTGAGTTTTGAGATTCGCTGAAATGGAAGCTAAAGGAACTGAAAAACTTATTTCTATTTAACCACCAATCTATTTTTTATTTTGGTTTGGAGCGTTATAGGAAATACTAATACAGTTTTTCACAAATGCAGGTTCTTTTTCATAATTTATTCAAAATATTATTAAAAAAATAATAATTTGAAAAAAATCTATTGGTATTTTACTTTAATTTTTTGAAGAGAACAAAAATATTAAATAAATGATTGAATATTAATCATATACACTTAAAAATAAAGATTTCAAAAATAATTACTGTGAAATAAGAGCATGCCCCAATTCTGGGAACCCTTTTTATCCTATCCCGGAACCCTCAAGTTTGCGGAACACCATTTGGAAACTGCTAACGTAGAGCATGAGTGAGGAAAACATCTCGAAATAAGGAAATATATATGTTTTTGGAAGAAAAAGAAGGAAAGTAATCGAAATACTTGAAACGATGCATTTTTTTTATTCTTTGCAAAATAATATTTACTGATGTTTAAATTACAATTCTGCATTTTATCATGTCATCTTTGAAATCCATATGCTCTAAGTTGCCAAATCAGATGTAAGAATATGCATTTTAGATTATTTTTCTTTCTATTCATTTATTCTTTTATTTCATTTTATTTTTCTATTTTTTTTTAAATTTTTATTTTATATATTTACTTATTTTTTCACATGTTTTTTTGTCTTTCGTTAGATTCAGATTTTAGATCTTCGAAATCGATTCTCAATTTCAAAATTGCATAACATCAATTTGAAAAGTATTGTCTTAAAATTTAAACCGGGAGTGAAGTTGAATTCTTCTCATTTTTACAATTAGTAGTTGATTATTTTGTTTTTTCTTCATATTTAACCATATCTTTGGAACTATTCGAACCAATGGGATAACTACAAGAAGTGTAGTGTGGGTATCTCAATCCAGAGTGATTGTTGAAACGTGTCATTTGTTTACGTTAGCAACTGTTTTTTCTATTTTATTTTGAGTAAGCCAAGCCCATGAAGTCTCAATTCTTTTAAGCGACACAGTCTATATTTTCACACAAAAATTCTTTCACGAAGATTTCAATTATTTCACTACATATTTCATATTTGACACAAAGACAGGCATGAAGCCATGAAGAACATAAACACACTAATTATGCATCGAAGTTGCTAGGCACACAAAACAAATATATATCACGGCTACAATAATATAAATAAATAAATAATAAATCTAAGTTAAGTGAAAGACGAATTTAATATAATTGCCCTGTATTTAATTAACTTCACGTTAATTAACATTCTAACTTGAGAGGGAAAACTTATTCAACTTTAACCCGCTATTTTGCTTTTAACGATTTTCTAGCGCTGACGTCATAGGTCACATGTGTGGGTATCTGTGATCGTCTTGAAGTGCAAATACCCAATTAAGAAATATCAATTAAATTATAAAAATTGTTTATCCGAGGATAACTCCAAGCGAAATGCTTTTTTGTATAATTTTTTATTTTTAATTCTTTGAAAAAAATCTGATTTCTACCAC